GCTCCTCCTGTCTGCAGCTTGGCTCCACCTCCTTAGCTTCTGATTGGCCCTGTAGCTCCTCCTGTCTGCAGCTTGGCTCTGCCTCCTCTCGACTCCTCTTACAACTTGGCTCAATTACATCATCAACCTACCAGAGTATGGATCTTAATCAATGACAGTTTTCTTTTTACATAAAAATATTTTAAAAACAACATTTTAAATGGTTCCATCAGAGGTTCTGGTTCTGAAATCTGGCTCCAAATCAGCAGGATGTCCTGCGAGTCAGGACCTGACGTGTGCCAGGTGTACAGCTCACCTCTGCTTTCTTAGGAACATTTGCACACGACTCGTCCCTCCTCTCCTCCACCAGAACCTCTGGACCTGACACGTATGACAACACAAATGAGAAAATGACACGTGTGGTCTGAGTAGGGGAGCAAAGAGCAGAGGACAACATACCTGCCAGGTGAGCAGCGTAGGTCCAGAGAAACGGGTTTTTGTTCATACAGGATTCACAGATCATCTCCTGTAACTCCACGCAGTCCGGAACCACACGACCCAGGTGCTGTGCACACAGGTACACATGGGTAAAAACACACAATTACATTGTTCACGTACAGGTAAACACACACACAAGAAAACAAAGACAGGCAATCAGGTGAGCAGACAGGTGACCCGTGTGAGCACAGCCCACAGGTCAGGTGGGGTGTTCTGCTGGACTCACCCTGCCATGCAGCCAGTCTTCACACACCACACACTGAATCATCTCATCCTCGACCTGGACACAGAGAGCAGCCAACCACAGTCAGAGCTGGACAAGTGAACACCTGGGAGACAGGTGAGCTGCAGCCGTTGGGTACCTGGTCATCAGGGTCAGGATACGGCCGACGGCAGGTGCAGTAAACTCCAAAAAAGTTATGATTGTATTTATTTTGGCTGTTGACGGCATCCTTTTCCTAAAAACAAACAGGTGAATACAGGAAATCAGGTAGGAAGGATAAGAACACAGCTGGACCAGAACAGGTGTTATCAGGTGTATTCAGAACTGACATGGTAAAGTTTACACTGCAGCCCAGAGAACTTCCTGTTTCCACAGTCGCAGCGGAAATTCCTGCAGAAAAAGAAGAACATTTCGATCGGATGAGACACGTGTTGATCATGTGATCAGAAGCTAATCAATACTTTCTGTCTGCCTGATGAGGTGAAAACATTCAATTGATGCGCAGGAAATTAGTCACCTCTTGGTGTAAAGCTCATAAAGGTCGTGACCTTCGTGACATTTGTAGGAGCAGGCCAGACAGACCCCTGCAGCCTCGCCTCCCTGCGGCGTGCACGTGTTGCAGGCGTACAGCGCCTGGCGCTTCACGTAGCCCTGAAACAAACACACAGTCAGGGCTATCGGTCCTCTGGTGACCTGCTCTCTGACCCGAGACTAGTCCAGTCACAGAACATCAGCCCACAGTGGGCCCAAGACCTGGTAACAGCCAGAACCAGCTCACGTTTTTTGGCTGATGAAACTTTAGTCCACTGAGACTACCTGAGGATAAGAGCAGGAATCAGAATCACTTCCTCCCAACACTGCTGAGGCTTCTTCTTCCAACTCCTCATCTTCCTCCAGAACGTCCACCAGAGACACCGTCTGCTCCTCACACATCTTCACCTACAACACAGAGACAGTTCAGACCCGCCCTGTGGTTCTTTACTGTCAGTCAGTACTGACTCGGTTGGTTCTCTGCGAGTCAGTACTGACTCGGTTGGTTCTCTGCGAGTCAGTTGGTACTCTTCTGACTCAGTTGGTTCTCTACTGACTCAGTTGGCTCTCTACTAACTCAGTTGGTTCTCTGCGGACTCAGTTGGTTCTCTACTGACTCAGTTGGCTATCTACTAACACAGTTGGTACTCTACTAACACAGTTGGTACTCTACTAACTCAGTTGGTTCTCTACTAACTCAGTTGGTACTCTACTGACTCAGTTGGCTATCTACTAACTCAGTTGGTACTCTACTAACTCAGTTGGTTCTCTACTA